TTCCTGCTCTGTGAGCGAAACAGATCAGCTCATGACTTTTTTTGTGGTTAGCATTTATTAAGCTTCGTGCTCTGAACCAGTGACTAAAGGGACAATGATTGCAAATACAGAACTTTTGTCTAATTATTTGGTTGCTTTTGATTTGTTATTGTGTACATCTGACTTTCTTTTCCTCAGAGATCTGTGTGAGTTTATTTTTCACATGGAAAGCTTCTACTGTCTTTTTAAATGTGAACAGCTGTGCGTGCTATTGAGGTGAAAAATCATTCCACCCTCAATGGAAAAGCTATAAGGGTTAGTTGGTCGCGTCGTGATTCTGATGTGAGAAGAAGTGGAGCTGGAAATGTATTCGTCAAGGTAATTTTTAAGGACTGGATAACTGTCATTTTGAGATCTTAATAGTTTTTTTTCCCCTTATTGCTTTGATCCCTATGTGAAAATGATTTGGGATTTTGCTGCAGAATCTAAATGATACAATTGACAGCACGAAGCTTGAAGAAATATTCCAGAAGTTCGGAAATATCTTATCCTGTAAAGTTGCTGTTTCTGAGGATGGAAGGAGTAAAGGATTTGGCTTTGTACAGTTTGAGACTGAGGACAGTGCAAACACTGCTATTGAGGAGCTCAATGGATCTGCTGTTGGAGGAAAGGAGATGTACGTGAAATTCTCTCGGTTATAATTTATTGTGATCCTGATGAACTTTGATAGAGTATATAGAAAAAACTGTTTCTCTTGCACACTTTTAATCTTATTTTGTCCCCAAAATTTTTGCATCCATTCATGGATAGGTATGTAGGGAAGTTTGTCAAAAAGAGTGACCGGGTCCTGCCCAGCCCTGATGAGAAATATACAAATTTGTTCATCAAGAACCTGGGTCTTGACATCTCAGAAGAGCATCTTAGAGAGAAGTTCTCTGAATTTGGGAAAATTATCAGCTTGATCATTGCGAAAGATGAGAATGGATGTTCAAAAGGTTTTGGTTATGTGAACTTTGAGAATCCAGATGATGCTAGGAGAGCAAGGGAAGCTATGAATGGATCAAAACTTGGTAGGTTTTGATTTTATGTTGCTGTCGTATTCTCAGATGCAACTAACAGCTACAGTGTTCAAGAGTCTTATATGACCTGTATGCATTGGGCAGGCTGCAAGATCTTGTATGTAGCAAGAGCACAAAAGAAAACAGAACGCGAACAGATATTGAGGCGTTTGTTTGAGGAGAGAAGGAAGGCGCGACTTATTAAGTACCAGGTATCTTTGTTCCTCATTTCCTCATTCAAAGGATATATGTTACTGTAGAAAAGATGTCTTACTGTATTGTATTGTCCACTTTTTTATCACGATTAATGTCATCGTAGGGTTCAAATGTGTACGTCAAAAATATCGATGGTGATGTCAAGGATCACGAGTTGCGTGAACTGTTCAGTCGATGTGGCAAAATCACTTCTGCAAAACTTATGCTAGATGAAAAGGGAGTCAGCAGGGGCTTTGGATTTGTATGTTTTTCCAGACCAGAGGAGGCCAATAAAGCGGTGAATACTTTTCATGGTAAGTTATATATTTTTTTACTCGGTCTAGATCACGGTGAATGCCAAGGCACTGAATGTTGTTTCACATGAGCTAGTACTTGCAATAAATTTTTGTGCTATCTAACATCTTCTTTCCTATTACGTTTTTTGAGCACAGAAATCCCAGCTTAAGTTAATAAGTAGTACTACTTGACACTGTTTTCTTTCTAAAGGAGGTGTCAGAAATAATGAAGTGTAACAGCATGGATAGAGTTCCTGAATGACTCTATCAATATGGACATACTCATGAAATTCAGGGTTAAGGGGTTATAGAACTCCAGAATTTTAGTGCAAAAATGCATGTCTCTGTCAAATGCCTCAGGCCTTAACTTTAGATTCCGTAATGCCTATATGGGTATCATGTCAGACAAGCAACTTTTTGTTTGGTTGGTCTAGTTGAGTTTAGGCTAATTGTCCCACATATGGTTCATCCACTTTCTCTTGTTGAATCTGAACAAGATATGATGATACTGTTGTGGAATTCTGGCCTCAAAATTCTTTGTACTGAAAGTTAGAAAATTTCTCTGAAGGCCCCTATCAAGTATATTGACGTTGCTAGACATTCCACAGGATATATGTTAGGCCAAAAGACATTGTATGTGGCTATTGCTCAGAGGAAAGAGGAAAGGCAAACTCAATTACTGCTTAAGCATGCACAAGGAATTACAGGTCTCACTGGATCTTCCGCTTTTTTCCCTGGTGGATATTCCTCTCTGTACTACCCAGCCCTTGGTGATCTACAAGTATCTGAACAACCAGGGCTGTTGTATCAGCCTCTGAGTATGAGGCATGGTTGGATGGTCAATGGATTTCCTAACTCTATTAGCCCTTCTTATCAAGCTTCCTTGGTTAGTCCAACTGTAAATTTTCATAATACTTGGGCAATTTTACTACTTCATTGAGTTGGATAAACAGAATTTGAAATTTTCAGCAGTAGTCCGGAGGCACTAAATTGCATGGGCATGTTTCAGGTTTAAACCTAAGATGAAATTTCTTACAACTTATGTTTCATTTTTCAGATTCCTAGTGCTTCACAATATAGGCAATATAAGGGAAAGAAGAACGGACATATGCCAGTTCCAGATGTGCCTAACTGGAAGCAATCAGTGGCATCATCAAAACAACCTAGCTATACTCAAGTGGTTAAACTTCTTGCTATCCTTTTTCCATAAATTGAAATCTTGATCGACTGAGTCTTGTATTTTTTGATCTACAGTGTAATAGTTAAATATTCCAATTTACAATGCTTAAGTTGAATGTTTTTCTGAGACTCCTCCCTTAAAAATGTGTGACTTGCCTTTTTACTTCAATGGAAAAAGATAATGTTTTCAAATGCCTATTCAGAATAGTGATTAATCATTTTGCTAGGATGAGGATAAATATTTTTTTATTTGATTTTCAATTTCTGTGTACTGATTTATGTTTCCTTTTATGGTGTTCTTCATATATTCTTTTTATCTGAATCTTCTGATAATTATTCATGTATTTGAAAATCTAGGCCTCCACTTAACTAGTGTTAAGTATGTGATTTTTAGCCGGAAACTGTTCGATTGATTTGAATTATTGTTTCAACCATAAGTCTGTAACTACAAGAATTAAAGTATCATAAATCATTCAGCCCATATTTGCTCTATCTTTTAACCCAAGCATTTTTTAGTGGTTTTCTTAGCTTATATGATGCAAAATTGTTGATCTCACATGCAGATTACTTAGCATATGTATTTTAAAAGTTGAGATCTTTTTTCATAATTCGGTTATCATCTTGTTACTTAACTTCTGCCTGCACTGATTCTTCTTACAATCCTATCATGGAAAAGAAATTGTAGTCTATTTCTCAAATTGTTGTAACCCATGACAAAGTGCTTCTTTTTTCATTCACTAATATGTGTACATTGATGAGCTTCATTGCTTTAAGCTTCCTACTTTTGGTGCATGCCTTCACCTGGGTGAGAAGTATCCTGGGGAAGTTAAAATTTTCTTTTCAATGATGGATCACAGTTAAGCACCCCTGTTTTAGTAACCACATGATTTATGTATGCTGTGCAGGTCAAATATGCACCAAATGGTTGTGGTATGAAGAAAGGATGTGTTTTCTCTGCTGGCACTAGTACAAAAGGATCATTATCTGAGGTTTCAGACAACCTGAGTACCATGCTTACCGATGCACCTCCTAAGCAGCAGAAACAGATACTTGGAGACCACCTTTATCCTCTAATTAGTGAATACAAGGTGAGCTTTTTCTCTATCCTTTATAATCCTCCTTTTCTCTTCTATATTAGCTACCCTATGCACTAATGCAAAATAATTTGTCTGCTGCAATTGTTTTGGTTCTTCATAGATTACCCAAGGGGTAGATAAACACTTTAAAGAGGACTTGATCCATCTCTGACAATTTTACTGATCTGTCAAGAAGCTTTTGAAGCCATTTAGTTTTGAGCTTCGTTATCCGTTGGTTATATAGAGCTGGTCTAGCTTCTGTATCGGTCTTTACTATTACCCTGAGAATTAACAAAATTAATATGCTTTTTGTAGCCCCATCTTGCTGCAAAGGTTACAGGAATGCTTTTGGAAATGGACAACTCAGAGCTTTTATCATTGTTCAAGTCACCAGAATCTCTGGCAGCAATGGTGCAACAAGCAATTGAGACGCTCAACTTCCCCAAGACTGAAGTTTCCCCTCGAGATTCATGTCTTCCAAATCTTCTCTCTACTAAGTTGCAGTCAACTTAGCAACGAATTATGCAAAAATGTTGAGAGGTTTCCATCAAGTTTGTGTCACTAAGAAATAAATCTAGCTAAGTGTTGTTTGTATGGTGGCTACTTGTACCATGATTTTGTGGCTGTTAATACTTCTCCGATATGACATGATAGAAACAAAATTGTTGTAGTTAATGATACTGCTATAGCATTTGGGGTCGGCAATGTTATGTTTGACAATGTGTTTTGAAGTTGTCATTTCTTTACATGTTATAGTTGTATTCCATTTCACATTGGCTTTGTCAGATGATATTTGAGAAAGAATATTGATTCGAAGAATAAGGTTGAAGTCTACCAGTGTGTTAGCAAGATGAAAAAACAAAGTTCCCTTCTTTCTGCAGAACTTAGACTCAATTGAATGAAGTTCCCCTCTTTCTGCACATCGAGTTTTGTTTATTGAGTAATTTATGCTCTACAGATGTTTTGTTAAAACACACCATTTCGTTAAAACAGTACATAAATTCTATTTTATTTACAAATCAATTCAGTCATAGAGAAAGAGTTAAGATGGTAATAGACTAAACAGTTAAAGAGCCGAGAGATTAAGAAAAGTGAGAAAAATATTTCAACCCGCCACCCGCTCCACCCCACTTAATTTCTTTAGAAAGTTATTCCAACCCCCCCGGCATACAATTGTCATCCCTAATTATAGCAAGCAAAAAGAAACAAACTATAGATCATGTTTCAAGGAAGACTTATGATATACAGGACAAGTAAATTGTGTTCTTTGTTCACCCAAGAGCAATAAGCTCTCAGAATACATTCACTTTTTGAAGTCTAGATTACAATTCAACTTCTAGTTTACATGTCAGTAAAATCAACAAACCCTTTTTGATATCAGACTCAATGATTCCCTCCATTTCTCCTAATGCCTTCTCAAACTGCAGATTATCAGAATCAGTTGCCCTGACACTGCTGGTTTTGGGTAAAAAGCAAAGCATGATTATCAGAATCAGCTCGTAACTCGTAGTCATGGAATCAACTCATGAGTTCTTCCATTAAGCCCTGTAATTAGAGGCCAAGGCTAGAAGTTTCAGAAAAAAAGTAGATGCATTTACTTCTCATGAAATTTTCTGTTGTATGGGAAAATCACCTGAGAAATATACTGCTCTGCATCAGTTCGCCTAATGAAAAGAATTGCATGACGAGCAAGGTTGGCTAGTTGGTCGCTGAGGACCACATTACCAATGTCATCGAGGACCCTCACCTTGATATAGGGATCTTTTGGAGGCACCATATCCTGTGAAAAGCAAAACAAAAGGAAACTAAGGTATTTGGCCGAGTCTCTATCATTTGCACTGAGCGGGTCTCCCCGATAGTAAAAGTTTATGAGGAAAGCAGTCCCTTGCAGATTGATCAGATATTCTAGAAAACACATGGAGTGATGTCATGTTTTTGCTTGTCAATGTAGTATTTTATTTGAGCACATTGAACTTCTGATAATCGAGTATCTGTTTAATTTACTTAATGCACTCACAAGCACTCACATTGCTGCCCTAGCCTCGTGTTCTTTTCAGAGACAGTTCTAGTCCAAAGATTGATATAGTTATCCGAAGCCTAAAGTCAAATGCAATGAGCAAATTTGATACTTCCTACTCACAAAAGAAAGAAACAGAATAGGAAAAATCTGCCACCCTCCTAACAGATCACCATCCACACTCCAATCCAAGCGTCCTTCTCTTGACCCCATAGCACACCAACATTGATGAGGGTGCAACAATGGGGAAGATGTGCAGACACGCTATGGCCTAGAGATTAAAAATACTTGTCAGGGAGCATCGTTAGGTCAGGACCCCTCAATGTTACAGAACTTCAAGAAATAACTTTAGCTTCAGATATATTAATTTCCAGACTTGCTGACACTTCATAAGAACCAGAGATTAATGAGCTAAACAAAACAAACACTAAAGTTCCATATCAACACAACCAAAGAAAAAAGAACAAGACACTATTTAGCAGTGAATCATGCAACATTTAATGGACAGTTGCACTTTTTTCTGCTGTTTGGATTCAAACAAATTTTGGTAATGACACATACTGCTCCTAAATAGTCACAGATTACAACAATTAACCTTTCGAAGGAGGGAAATGCAGAATTTCTTCTAGGAGATCATACTATAATTCCAAGAGTACAGAAAACATGTCCTGGTTTGGTTATCAAAAAAAGAAAACATGCCCGGGTTAGGACTTACGACTTACCAAGAGTCTACTTTCTGCAATTTCAGGCATAGTAGTATTTGTTAGGTGTAATAGTCAATTCACTATAGTCTTTGAACAATATATCAGGATACAAAAAAGAAGTTATGAGAAAAGAACACTTACCACCCCCAAATCAAGATCAAGTGCTGACATGTATGATTGGACAGTTGCAGCATGATTCTTAAAATATTCTTTCTCTGAGGTACTAAGCTTCTCTTCAATTTCTTCTGGGAGGACACGCTCAAGGGTCCATCCCAATCTTCGAACAACTTCTGCACGATTGTATCTAAAGAAGGAACAACAAAGAAAGTCGACAACAAACATAAGAGATGCAGGAAGATCAGGAATATATGACCGTTTCCCAAGGACAACTCTGAAGCCAAGTGTTACTCACACATAAGCCATCAGACAGCGCTTGTTGCGAGTGAGAGACTGATGATGGATAAGCAGCCCGTGGTAATTATCATCTTTGGGGAGCTCTGGATTGGAACTTCTATCAGTCTCAGGTGGATTATTGTCATCAGGTGATTCGTTATTTGAAACTGCGTCGTTCTGAGTTGGTCGGTTTGCACTTGAACTTTCAGTAGGAGCTTTTGCATTCATTTTCCTGAGTCAAACTCAAGATGGATAAGGTCTGAAAGTCTGAAACAAAGTTTTACTCCATTTGGTACATAGAGAAGAATACACATGCGTAAGGAAAGAATGAATTTGTTGTGAAACACATTGTCAACATGCTGGATTTGACTCAATTTCAGAAATGAACCGAGACGAATCCAAGTTGACGTGTGATATTTGATGAAATTATATGCCTTTGGAATCTGGTGTATGGACATCAAATTTAACAGTTAGCCATTAGGACACTCATGCAGTATCATGAAGCCAATTCAATAGAAGGTATGGATGAGGGAGGACAAGCACCTAATGCTCAATACTGAATAAGCAGCAAAGTTGAAAGCTTCAGAAAACACAAACATAGCATTTGGCGCTACAAGACACAGAAACATTCTGAGAGATTAGTGCCTAGGCACTAGAATGGCACAAACTTGGAGGCTACAGTGCCTAGGTGCCATCAGACAAATAGAACTATAGGAGCACAGTGCCAAGTTGCTATCAGACAAATACTGGTTCTTAGACGTGTTCTTACATGAAAACTATAAATATACTCTACCAGGGCTGAACATACCACAGAAGAAGGGAAAAAAGAGGGTTGGGTCTATTTCAACTTGAATTCATCTTCTACTTCCTTTCCTTTTGGCTTTATCCTTTCATGTTTAAGATTGTCGTTAGGATGTTCTTTGCTTTTAGCAAGAATTTATTCCTCCTTCCTTAACTGTAATGGATCTTCATGTACAGTTTGGATTCTTAATGGCTTCTTGCTTATTATTGATGGTTATTCAAAATCTTAATCTTATGCTTCTCATTGCTTGACCATCATATAGATTGGTAAGATGGATCAATTAAATTCTTGGTTGCCATTAAAATTTCTCCAAGGAACCATTCACCTTCATTTGATCTTCAAGGTAGAGGTTAAGTTTCTTGGGATAGACGGATAAAGAAACAATATGGATTTTAACTGGGATATAGAGACTACTTTCTTCCCACTATTTTTTTTTAAACCAATAAATTTGTATATTACTACAAGTCCTTTTTTCCTTTTAATTCTTTACACCCAATCTATATGTTTCTCCTTACACCTTAGTTGGTATTCTTAGTTCTAGTTCTTTGGATTTAAAACATCAACAAGGCAGAGAACCTTTTCTTTAATTTTTTCTAAAAATGATGAAATGATAATGGAGATTAACACTCCATTGAATTTCTGACATGGTTTTGGGGGAGGGAAACAAGGTTGAGTTAATTTTTGAAGTGGCGACACAGACAGACAAAAATAAGAGCTAAACAAGAGTTAGCTGAAAGAATGTAATGGCTGCGTCAAAGCAAGACATAACTTCCAATAGGACCGCTTTTACATTATAGCAAAAACTTCAGAAAATTCAGCATGCTGACACACAAGTATTATGGAGAAGAAAAGCATATGATAGAGAACTGATGAAGTATGTATGTTCAAGGCCTAGATCAGAAGCAAACTGGACAAGAACACAGGTAAAATAGGACAGTTTCAGGATATCAGTTAAGAAAATACACGAGGTATACTTTTGTTCTGTAAAATATTTGCAACAATAAGAATCATATAAAAAGCTCACCTAACTACTGTAAGCATGTTATGAGTTATACAGCAATAAGGTTGCAGAAAGAGATGAATAACAAACAAAGAAAGCTTGGGAAACCACAAGGAACGTGTTAAATATACCTCACCAAGGAATTGAGGTGCAGGAAATGGCTGTTACATTCTTCAAGTACTTGTGTAACAAGGTCAGTCTGCATCGAACAAAAAACTTTTCTTTAAGTATAAAACTCTAAGTAAATAGTGGACCGAATATGTAATGAATTAAAATGTTTATAACATTCAAGTAGCAGCAGAGAAAGTGACCCTGCCGAACATCAACTTCATTTTAATGTAAGAAGCACTCATGATCACTCATTTTCTAATAAAACTCCTTAAAAAAGAAGAAGTGGAATTACATGTATACTTCTGTTAATAACAAGATCAATATCTTGGATGTATGAATTACCCACTACAGCATTATGACATGCATAATAATGACAAACATCTATCTGGCTACCTTATTCCTCTAGCGTGAACCCATATATTATAAATGCAAGATGAATGCATGTTTATATTCAAATCTCAGTGAGTCAACACCTATCGTCTATACAATTTTCACAGCCTACATGGAAATAACGCAAATGATTAAAACTATCTGCAATTTAATTTCTAGTAAGCTGATCTAATATAGAATGAATTGCATACATTAAAAGCTGCAAGCTGCCCCGGTTCACTCTCTGCAAATTCTTGAACTAATTCTCTCCCCTTCTTCCCGTACATTTCTTCCAATTCAAATGGGCCAAGCACTAATCAATTTTTACCTGCAGTCACTGAACCATTTCTCAAACACATAAATCTGAAATCCCTTAAAATTGGAAAATCAAATAGTACTTATGCAACTATTTTCTTATATCGGAATTCCCATCAAGTAGTTTTTCTAAGGCCTGATTCAGAGTATTCCAATTTTGTCGAATATTTTTGGCATAACTAATATCAAATAATTTCTTTACAGAGTTACAAAAGTAATGTTTTTTCTTAAATGAACAAGTCCAATCTAGTGACAGTAAATAGAGTTACAAATACAAAAAGAGAATACTTGTTCAGTAAGAAGAGCGAAAAACAAGTACAATTTACGGTTCCTCGGGTGATATGTGAGCTTGTGTTTGCTGTTCATGGAAGGAAAGAGCTCCAGAAATAGCTGGAAGGTAACATCACTCTACTATCAAGCTTTCAAATTTGCAGATTTGATGCATTTGAAAGCCAAACACATAAAGACTTCAGTTGGATCATCCTATTTTACTGACCCAGTCAAATTTAGCAACCCACATCGATATGGAAGAATGGACATGAATAGTAGCAACAATGAGTTGATCTTTTTCTCAATTCGAACGAAACTCATCGAGTAATTACCATAAGAATCACCTAAGAATAAGTTGAAATTTCAAAATCTGGGGATCTGGGTTTGCCTTAAATCCTTTGAAAATCTCTTTGGATGTTTCAGATTTAACAAAAAAAATTGTCAAAAATATGAAAATCTGAGTTAACTGAAGCATTTCATCAAACACCTAATGTGCATAAACCCATAAATTGCTTAAAGAAAAACAACAACGAAATCGTATTTACGCACCTTTTTTCAATTGATTTCCTTAACAAGAAAGTTGAAATGTAATTTTTGTAATTTGATTTCTGCTTCGCGAAAATTTGATTCAAAAACAATTTTGGCGGGAGTTTCTTCAACATTCCAAAATTTAACCGCCAAAATCAGAAGCCAAAAAAAAAAGAGGGTATTATATAAATTTAAAATAGAGTTTAGAAACTACACTTGGACCTCATAAGTTTAAGAAATAGGCAATAAGACCCACTTAATTCATAAAAGCATCCATTTTGGTCCTTTTGTTCCTTCTTGTTTTCTCACTAGGGTTTGTTAATTGTTACCACTTAAATGTCTCCATTTGTCTGAATTCATATCACATAAGGCCAACTGCACGAAGAACGAGCGCTTCGTATTAAAAATTATTTTCATTTCGAGGCTGAAGTTCGAGACAGTAAAATAAAGATAATGGATAGATCTATTCATCTTATCATAATTCTCTGCATTATTAGTCCTTACATCTCGTTAATAGGAAATTTTAATAAGATTTAGAAGCGAAAATATATTTACAATTAATATTCTCATCTAAGGTATAAATGATAGAACTATATAAGTTGTAAATTGTTAGTTTGGCCATACATTTTGGTAAGAAATCCAATAATAATTTAACAAATCAACTAGTATAGTCTTCTTGCCTAAGAAAAAAGAAGTTTGATTGCTTAATCTTTAGGGTGTTTTTATTAATTAAAAAACTAATAACACATTAACCATAAAATATAGTACTAACATTAAGTAATGGCCACTATATATTAAGCTAAACCATATTATTATCATACCAATTAGTAAATTTTTTGTTTTCTTACTTTTATTATATGTCCATTCCCAAAAGCTTATGCCTTTTTTTTCTTTTCTTTATCACTTGTAAAGAATGCGTTTATATGTTTTGTCAAATTGTTATGATAAATATCTATATTGTTGCAAATACTCTAGAAAAAACAAATTCACTTTGATAGAAATTTCAAAATTTATTCGTCCTTTACTTGAAGTCTCAATTTTCAATTCTAATAATGAAAAAAATTCTATCGAAAGCATTGAAAAATTGATGACATGGTCAAATTATAATTGGCCACGTGTCAAAAATGATTTAATGGTTTTGTCAAACCATTGCTAAAAGGTAATGGCATGAATGAACATTTTTTTTAACGGTAATGACATAATGAACCAAACTTTTAACTGAAGATATAAATAAGACTTTTCTGAAAGTTCGATGACATATTTGATCATTTTCCCTTAAAAACAAGAGTGAAAAGGATTGACTACGTGTCAAACTGCGATTGGATAGACTGATTTATTTTATTATTAGCACTTCGACAAGTATTACCGTTTGTGGACTTGTGGTCCTCTCGAATTGGGAATCCACACAAAAGCCCATAAAATACAAAGAATTATTTTATGAAAAATAAATATTACCTCCGCTTTTACGTCAAACTTTTAATTGTTGTAATTTTCCTTTTTACAATCAAAACTATAAAAGAATTTAATTAACATTTACAAAATATTTTTTAATCATAATAATATGCAAAAATCAAAAATATAATTTATAGTATTTTTTTTGATATAATTTATGAATATTTTTTAAGAATTCGAACAAAAAAGACAATTGGAATTTGAAGTGGGAACTTCAAGTGCAATATGCTTTATCCATTTTCCAAAGCTGATTTGCTTTTTTGCAAAATGCATGACCAAATATACTAAATTTTATTCAAAATTCACAACTACCACACAATTGAAATCTTTAACTTCTTTTATCTTTCAACTTTTTTGAACAAAGTTAAGCATCTAATCTTATCGAGAGTTATGGTAGGATGAATAGGAATCGTCGATCCTTGATCAGGAATTTCGTGGAAATACTGTGGTAGGGAACTTATGAGAAAGTCGAACTTCAATGTGGATACTAGACATTGAGTAGGAAAAAGAACAGCCTGGTCCACTAAGCGTCTAATATGCACGGGGTCCGAGGAATGGTTGGACAACAAGTGTCTATGCACGGTTACTCCAGCTCGAACTTGTGATCTCCTGATCAAACGACGTCAACTTTTTTCAGTGTAATGAAACAACATAGTCTTTTCAATACAACAAAAAAGATCCATGCCTTTTATAAAATCCTTATTTACTCTAATATGAATATTCAAAATATCAAGACCAGTGACATTTGTTTTCTCTAGGACTGTGATACTTCTAACTAAACTCAATAGGCTCTTCTTGATCAACTATTTCACTTATGCAGTGAAGTTGCTGAACAACCTCTTTCATGCAGGGTCTCTCTGTCTTCGTTTCTCTTAAACACGAAAGTGCAAGAGCCAGGAACGAGTCCATACCAGTCGTTACATTAGTCAAAGGCTCCTCGTCAAGCAAGCGTCTGTCCAATACATCTATAACTGAGCCATGGTTTTCTTGCTGAATGACATAAGAGACCAAGTTGACACTATTTTCGTCTCGAGAGAAGTCAACTGCCTTCTGAGAAGTAAGAAGTTCTAGTAACACAACCCCGAAGCTGTAAACATCACTTTTATCGGTTAGCTGGTAGTTGCGAAAATATTCAGGGTCCAAGTAACCTAATGTACCCTGAGCACAAGTGGACACATGACTCAACCCTGGACAAGCCAATCTTGATATCCCAAAGTCGGAAACTTTGGCGTTGAATTCGTTATCCAGGAGTATGTTTGTAGATTTGACATCTCTATGGTAGATGGGAGGATAAGCAGCTGAGTGAAGATAAGCCAATGCTTCTGCAGTTTGTGAAGCAATTTTCAACCTTGTTCTCCAGTCAAGAAAGGTGGAGTACTTACCATGAAGATGATCGTGGAGGGTTCCGTTGGAAATGTATTCGTAAATCATCAAAGGCTGTTCAGCTTCTATGCAGCACCCTAAAAGCTTGACCAGGTTCCTGTGATTGACTTGAGAAAGTATCCCTACTTCATTGAGTATTTGTTGAGTGCTCTTGAGATTTCCCACTTTGGCTAACTTTACTGCAACAATAGTTCCATCGTGAAGCTCGCCTTTATAAACTTCTCCGAAACCACCACGGCCCAAGATTCTGTCTTCTGAGAATCCATTTGTAGCTTTCTTCATCTCCTTGAGACAAAACATCCTGGCCGGTTTTCCACCGTTGTTTGATTTTAGAATGTCTTCTCTTGCCTTAGCAAGCCTAGCCCTGGCTGAGACTCTTCCTGATCTTTTCAACGCCACTGCAATCACCACAACAGTAAAAGCCAAAAACAAGGCAATCCCAATAGATATATTTAATACAAAACCAGAGTGTTTCTTCTTCATGCAATTTCCTAGACTTCGGTTCCAATAATAGCCATGATTGCAAAAACAGCGAAAGACACCGTTTTTACCAGAAGGTGAACATTTAGAAGCTCCAGAGCAATCAGATTGTGATTTACAGTGTGGCTCGGGTGGAGGAGACCATTGAATTTCCAATCCCTCCTCCCATTCATTAGCTGGCTTCATAGCATCCAAGTGTAGAATGCTTCTAAATGCTTGGCAACCCGAGATATGCAGGCGTATCTTGTATGCTGAGGGCATACCGCCAGCAATAAATGTGCAACATGGATAAACACCACTTGCACACTGAAGTTCCCTTTTTGCATCTACATGTCCAGAGCTAAGCAGGTATTTATGGCACAAGCTAGAAGGTGTGCAATTTAAAGGGGATACAAGAAGACGAGGAGAACAATTAAATAAGAAGATAGTGTTAGAAGAAGTAACGTTAAACGGAAGAGTTTGGTTCAACCACAGTCCCTCACTCACTGACAAGTCTTGTGTAACACAGGTACCAGGCATCCAGGGTGATGGTTGCACCACCATACGCTGGAACGAGGCCATAACTCTGAGGATGACGTAAGAGCTTCCATTAAGGGTATCAAGATAGAGCTTGTGAGAGTGAGGATCACAACGGATAGAATAGTCAGGGTTGCCACAGTTGGGATTCGTGCTCAATGGATATGGAACCTCTAGAGGACCACAGTTTGGACATGTCTTTTGGGAACAACAGTAACAAAAGAAGTAGAGTAACAGTAAGACATACAGGTTGGTTTTCCTCCTGTAAAGAATAGTCATGGTTATTTTGTGAGGTGCAAAGAAGAGGTTGAAAATATTATGGTAGAAAGGATATCATAAGTGGGTAAATATAGGCAAAGGAAAGAGAATAAAGTGGGTGAACGAAAAATGAAAAGTATTCAAAAGAATCTAGTAAAAGCAAAAAGATTTGGCAATCATTGAACAAAGGGATTCTTATCTGAAGGTTAAAAACACAAAAAGGGCATCCCAGTGCACTAAGCTCCCGTTATGCGTGAAGGACCGGACCACAAGGGTCTATTGTACACAACCTTACCCTGCAATTCTGCCTGTAGAATATTTTAGTATACCTGCAATTCAATACCACTTTCTGAAAAGAGGTATATAATCTTTGCTTATTAAGGAAAGAACTTGCCTAAAGAAGGATAACAACAGAGAAACAAATTCTAAGGATGATTTCAGTTCGACATAATTACTTTGCAAGTTGTCAATAAATATACATGTGCAGCAGTCCTCTATTACCTCATCACTATATAATAATGCAGCCTGCAAGAAGTATGTAAACAACTCTGCCAATATAAAATTCAGTAACTAAAATCTATAAAGAGAGAGGGCCGCAAGACATAATGAGAAGTATAAGCCATCTTAGTAGATACTATAAATGTCATAATCTAGCCAATGAGAAGCTAAACAAATTATCCAAGACGGTGAAGTTCAACACCTAAATGACTCTTTTCAGAGCTGAATTTGTCCTAAACTAAGTCTTAATGTCTTTTGTACTATTTATATCTCTGGGAACTAGTTGATTCACCCATGGTTGATTCAGTTATCTATATCTGAATTTTCTCACTGGCATTTCTTTGGGGTTATTCTCGAACAACTCCATACAGCACTATTACATGCTCAAAGCAATTTGAATCTCATAACATGAAAATGAGTTTGAACTATACAATACTAACATATTTAGGGACATTTTCTTGGTAAATACCAAATCAGAAGCAGATCTCTTAGTATTCTCAAAATTCATACAATAGGCTGAGTACTTTTGCAGGTGATGAATCAATATAACATGAAGTAGGTGAACACTGTGGTTATCCTTCAACAATTTTGACAGGAGTTCTGCACCGAAAGAAAAAAAAAGGAATGTTCAGTTAATACATAAGATGCCAAGGATAATGTAGCTAAATCAAAGAAATAAGTTCATTAATTTTTTTAATATTCTAAAAGTTGGCAACTCACCCGAATGGGCTTTGTTTAATAGATAGCAGTTCAATATCCATCTGCAGATAAAAAAATGACCACATAATAATGTTAGAGATAATACCATCCATTTCAAGAATAAGTAAATTATGACAGATGAAACTTGCAAAAAGGTGTTGCGGAAAACTGATATTTTTGTTCTTTTGGGTAGAGGGGGGTTTGGGCTAGCTTGCATGGAACTGGGGCGGAAAACTAATTAGGAAATGATGTAGTGATCCAAGGAGCAGCTGTTAATTGTGGGGGTTATATTTAACGTTACAGTCTTGGCACAAATTTTAATCGAAGTTTCTCTACATTCATTCTCAGTTTGAGGTTTTCATTCAAACTACAAAGTTGCTAGTTTTATCAGGCTACTACAATATCACCACTTTGTAGCCATATTATAAAAACATGATGACACACATAATTACAAGGGGGAGAATGTGTAGGAGATAGCAGATTTTATGTTTTTTCATTTCTCTAAAAGGTTTAGCTCAAGTGCACGTCATGCAGTTTGGAAAAGGACTTAAAAGAATTTTCATATAACATTTCTGAGGATCGTTCTTTTTTACAAAGAACAAAGCTAACAAGTGACCACATAACAAAGAATATTTTAAAGATTATGATCTTTGTTTTCGGAGGTTTACACTTTTATGAAGCTGATATATTTTGCACATCCACACACTTTTCCCAAGAAAGATAAAATTCTGTATGTGCAGAATACACTTTTCTGTTGATAAGAATGTTCTGCATCTGTTAGATGCCAACAAGATATTTCTATCAACATAAATCTCTGGTTCACGGTGAAGGCTTCCATTAGAAAGTTTTTTTGCTAGCCACATATTTGATGATTCTGATAAGTTATTTAAAAGAGTGATGATGGTGATCTTTCGTAGCGAAAAGGTATAGACAGCAGTTTGCATTCCACTGACCAACTTAAAGGTTTAACAGACCACAATAGGTGCAAAACAGTTGAATCCAAATGGCCTTCAGAAACTATTTGATAAACAAGATTAGTCTTTCTTGGAATTTTGGTATAAGCACATGAATGCAACGACAAAATGATACCTCAATTGTTGCATTTGGAGGAATTTCCTGCACGCCTTTTTTACCATAAGCTAGCTCAGGAGGTACGATGAGCAGGCGCTGCAAATACATAACATTTTCATTTTCAAATGTTTATCGCCTCCGTGTAAAGTAATTAATCCATCATTATTGATGCAACTATGCTGAGTTAAATTTCATCGGTCATCGGCATGACACCCTGAATTATGACTTAATTAGTTGTAGTTCATTATTCTAAGCTCAGGGAAAAGCTAGAAGCTAAAGGACATTCTGATGAAAAGTCTACATATACTTCGAAATGTTTTGTGCACTGACTATCAAGTACAGGATGATCTCATTAATTTGACCACAATTATACTTTCAATCAAATATGCCTCAATTCCAATACGTTAATATGAATCCTCTGTATCCACGCTCTATTAGGGCACATTTCATTACAATAACTAAATGGTTTCTCTTTTTAGGCAAGTAGAGCTTCTCTGCAACTAGACGTTCTCTAAAATCTCATATTTATTCTTATACTGATATTCAAGTCTTCATTTAGACAAGGAGGACTTGAGGAAAAGTCAAACCTAATGTGAGTGTAATAATAACAACGAAGTCTTATTCTCAGCTAGTTGTCATTACCTATATAAATCTTTTTCTTTTATTGTGTTTAGTTCTTAGTTAAGTCTTCACTGAATCTAGAGACTCCAGGCCTCTTGAGTCAACTTCCCCTAATGTTGACTTTAGGTTTACAACATCTCCTTTTAGCACATTCAATCATCACACTGTTGCACCTATTGGATCTATGCATTTGTAGGTCTATTTAGGACATAACCAGACCATCTTAGCAGCATTCTCTCAGGTTATCTTCTATACATATCCACTTGTGCAAATTTGTTAGATTTTATAACTTCTAATCTTGTATGATCGCACATAAAATTTAACATCTACATTTCATCATTTCAAGGCACCCATCTTAAGCATATGTTGTGCATTGAAAGCCCAATTCACCCCATAAAACATTACTCGTCTTAGAAATGCTCGACTGAACTTCAATTGTAGTTTGTCCGATCTCTTCTTACTGCATACAAGTCCTGTATCATTCCTTCATTTTGAGCTATCCTATTATTTCTTCTTCTTTTGATCTGACTTCAGCAGTAGTGTTGGATTTTCATTTCAAACTGTTCCCATTTTCTCATTTTGAGGAAGCTAACACTGAAAAGCTTAGCAGTTGAATATTGATCACAATTAGAGCAGGAAGTTCAACGGGGCATGAAGTTGACTCTTCAAATTAGAAATAAAATATAAAATAAACAAGCTTTAGCATATTCCTCTCCTCAGGGAACTCCATTAGCAGTTCAAATAAGAAATATCCTGAATGTGATGAAAGTACAATCAAGCTAATTGTCTCACCTGCCCTCCTACTCGCATCCCTTGAACACCGAGATCTAATCCTTTAAGGACTGTTCCCCTTTCTGATTGACCAACGTCAAATCCATATGGCTACAGGAAGTAAAGGATATTGAATAAGAAACATGATGGCATCTAAAAAACAGAAAAAGTAAGTCACATAGCTCGTACGATTGACGTCGAGAAAACCACTCCATCACAAATACAAATTAATTCCGAATATTTTGATATTATACGCAGATCAAGTACATCGTAACCATAATGCTACCAAACCAAGCAATTTGAATTAATGACATCTTAAGTCAAAACCAGGCAAACTGTACCAAGTAGAGGAAAGTAAGAGAAGCTTCTATAGTTCTTCATTTCTCTTAGAACATGCATGATCCTAGTATCACTTTCAAAGGGACGATACAGATACTCAAAAACTTAGAAAGAATGACTACGTATTTTTGCTCTTGCTTTACTCAATGTAATTTGTAATTTGTAGTTCCCCATGAAATGATTCCTCTCCAATTAGGTATCATATAGAAATGGATTATGAGAATTGACAAAATTTCCAAATCAAGGACTATTAAATAAACATAGCGGAAATATTATATAGGCATTGTCCAGAAGCAGGCAATGGCATAAATCTACCAATTAAGCTAACGGGAATGTCATAACTGTTGTTCATCTTGTATTACAAACATACTTAGAACAAAACTTTGAACATCTTTGTAAGAAAACAAAGTTTAAGAACATTTTCACAACTAGAAAATTAAAACTAGTAGCGAAACTAGATTCAGAAACAGATTATTAAAAAAAATATACGAAATATTTTTCCTAAAGAGGAATTGTTGTTAATATGTGTCTAAAGAATCTTACTAATTCCAACAAACTTTGCAGAAACACGAAGTTACCAAGTTTAATGAACTAGTGAAGAACAGAATAATAGAAGAACTGAAATTAATTCACAAATCTAAAATTCGTAAAACACGTACCAGAATCTGAAAAACTTTTAATAGGAAAAAGATCAAGTCCACTGAATTCACAGTGTCCCCTTAAGGAAATTATTCCCCTCTAGTATCCGAGGTTTGATTTGGAATATGACCTCCCAGGGTAAAATTATCTCAATCACCAGAGTATAGATACCAAAAACTCCGGTGTCAGCGAACCACTCAACGGCAATAAAGTACACTTAGAATACTAGATTTAGTAGCTGAAGAAGAAGTCCATAAATTCTATTTAAAATGAGAGGAAATCCCTCAATTTATAGAAAACAAAGGATAGTGCGAAAAGGTTCTTATTGTGCCTTACCGGAAGGTCACAAACCTTTGGAAAAGTCATAATCTTTCAGAAAGGTCGTCACCTTTCATAAAAGTCACAACTTTCCATAAAAGTCACAACTTTTCATAAAAGTCACAACTCTTCATAAAAGTCGCAACTCTTCATTTTCCATTCACATCTTC